TAATTATGAATATCACATTATAATCTCTCCCCCCCCCCCACATTTTGATAATTTACTAATTCTCTTTAAAATACGAAGTTGAAGAAAATTGTAGAATTATTTTTAATTACTTCAACTCTTAGCCTTTTCTATGGTGGTGATGGCCACTAAATTGGATAGAGTTAAAAGGGGACTGGATAAAATCATGGAGGACAAGTTGGCTAAGGATATTCAGTCTTGAAAATTCAATGTTATCTGCAGGCTTGGAACAGCATATTTATAAATAGTGTGCAATACTAGTTGTAAAAGAATAACAGTGGGAGAGGGGTATGCTTCCACACCCTGTTGGTGAACATCTCGTGTGCTATTGTGAAAAGAAAATGCTGGACTAAGATGGATCTTGGTGTGAGCCAGCAGGGCTGTTCTTAAAATCTTCTATTGTTATTCAAGAGATGGTTATCAGTTGTCTTTGATCTTCCAGTTTTTGCCAATCTTCCTTTGTCTTTTCCTATTACCAATTTCTGAGTTTTGTTAATTAGAGAAAAATATGATTGAGTACAGGATACAGGTTACCCACTGTGCTTTAGGAGGAGATGTGTGAATAACATAATATCACATTTTGAGGAAGGAATTTTAGCAACAGTTAATGTGATCTTACATTCCTAATAATATCATTTAGTTATTTTATATATATATCAAATTTGTCACTGCCCATCTTGTTAAAAAGCCACAGATAGAATAGAAACATTATTGATTTAGTCATCTGACCATATCAAAAGTATAAAACTGATACAAATATGCAAGTCAATACGAAGAAAACAGTAGGACTTATTCATAATAAGTCATCACCCCTACAGTTAACCCCAATATGATCTAGGATAGTCTGTCTTCTTCAAAATGGCTTTTGATATAAAGAGTGCAGTCTTACTAGTGATATGCAAGTTTGTTCCCTGCAAAAAGTAAGACAGTTTCTCCTGGGTGCCCCAGTATTTTTTAGTTTTTAAATAAGAACCTAAGTAAACAGACTTTTCTGTAGAATATAGTTTGCAATCAAAGAGGATATGTGCAATGTCTTCAACAGCTGGTGCACCCCAGATACACAGTCTTTCTTGAAGTGGAACTCCATGAAACCTCCCATATCCTACCATAGAATCTTGTTGTTCAAAACGAGCTGTAGAAAAAGCTCTGCTAAGATGTTCAGGCATATAAGTTGTTAAATACTTTTCTAACTAGGAAGCTGATTTGTGTTGAACCAGCCACTTCAAGGACTTAACATGTTTAAGGGATGCAATATCATCTTGGGCAGCCACATC